ATGAAAAAGTTGCTGGATGCCTCTGGAATTTGCATGGGTGCCAACGGCTGCAGAGGACAGGGGAACGCGCCCATCAGTTTGAGTTTATGGACGGGAGTCTCCCTGAAATTTTAACCAATTTTGGTTTTGTTTTTGCCTCGATTTTTTTTTTACCTCTGAACATGTTTGCGAAAACAAAGTGGCCGAAATCCGAGGAGAAATTGGATTTTGGGGGAAGGTTAGGTTTTGGACCTCTGGGACCCTGGCCCCCCCCCCCCCACTTTCGAAAACGTTCCTACGCCTATGGTTCGCACTTGCAAGGCCCACCCTCTCGCTCGCTCCGTTTGTCGCCCGAAAAGGCGTTTTACTGGTGTAGGGCTGGATGAATTATTTCAGAGGGGGAGGGGAGACTAGGCCTTGAGGGGCCCTTCAGGAAAAGGGCCTCCAAGTGTCTCAAAAGGCCCAAAATCATATTACCTTCATTATTCATGCGTTACTGCACAAAGCAGGCATGTGGAAGGAAAGTATAGCTATTAGTTATAAATGTTATTGTTTAGCTGGGACAGAGACATTCAAGCATAGAAATATTCAAAACACCAGCTTCGTTTATTAGTTATGGGAGCTGTCGAAAGACGTTCGTCTTTCTTCGTCAGCCTGTCTTAGAAAGCACTTAAAACACACACACATAATACACCAGGTAAAGACAAGATCTTGTCTTATAATCGCGGTGGCAGTCTTATAACAGGTAGTTATAATCGCAGACGGGGTACAATTGCAGTGACCAACCCAGAAATTACAGTGAAAATTCTGAATCGGCACTTGTATTCAGCAGCAAACAGTTCGGTGGTCCTACGAACGGAACTGCTGCTCTCTCCAATGGCTTCGGTGCGTTTGTCATCGCCTCTGAACACCACAGGGCCATGTCTGTTTTCTTGACATAGTTATGACTTACGAGACGTCCCCGCGTCCCAGTGGCGGTCTCAGTCAACTTCGTCATAGTGGGGGGGGGGGGGGGGCATATGTCACCGCCCACCTCTAACTCAAAAAACTATAAAGAGGGCTAGAAAGACGCGGTAAAAAGCAGTCGATAGTTTTCAATGCGTACGCTTGAAAGTATTCAGTCATTTTTCATCTTAGAGCAATATTGGGGTCACCAGAGGTCATCAAAGGTCAAAATTTGCCAAGTGTCATTACATTTTTCAGAAAACATGCCGTTATCTCAGGAACTATGATAGCTAAAAAATGAATGGAAAAGCAATCGATAGCTTTTGAACTCTTCTTTTGAGAAGGTCATCATCAAAGTTGACGTCCGGTCAACGGTTAAACTTCCATAGGTCAAACATTGTGAAAATAGCTGTTTTTGGATATTTTTTCACGAATAACTTTTGAACCAGCGAAGATGAAGAATTAGCAATGGCACTATCGTGTTTCTCTCCTTCGATCGCTTCGAAAAATATATTTTTTACCTGGAAAGGTCAAGGTCAAACTTTGACCTCAGGTCGAGGCCACGTTATCACCCAAATAGGTCATGTTGCATGTCATTCGATGCATCTCGACAAGACCAATACAACCAGTAGGTATAACGCCTTTTGGGGCGACTAACGGAGCGAGCGAGAGGGTGACCCTTGCACGTGCGAAATTTCGAGGGGGTACCTCCAGCTGACTTGTGCACGGCACCCTACTAACCGGTCTCTAGCGATGTGCCAAATTTGAGCACAATCGGCCCAGCCGTTCTCGAGATCGGGAAGCGGTACCCTGCACGTGCGCACGTGCAAAATGGGTCCCAACTGACTTTTGCACGGCACCCTACTAACCGGTCCCTAACTGTGTACCAAATTTGAGCGCAATCGGTGCAGCCGTTCTCGAGATCTGGAAACGACCCCTGCACGTGCGCACGTGCAGCAGCGCCCCAACTCTGGCACATGGATATGCAGTGCCTAGTGGGTGCCTACCTACATGCCAACTTTCAGCGCAATCGGCAAAGTAGTTACCGAGATATTGCAACAATTACAAAACGGACACCTCTTCGTTTTGCACGTGGCACGTGCATAAGGGGTCACCCACATGCATCGGGAATAGTCCAATACTTGGTAGAAGGAATGAAGCTACCCTACAAAAATTGTCGCGTGTAAATCGGTCAAGTGGTTGCTGAGATATAAGCCTCGCAAAAGCGTGACCACGGCCGGGGCCGGCCGGCCGCTCATGCTCAGAAATTTCCGTTAACCCGCGCCCAGATGGGGTCTGCCGAGCAACGCGGTCTGATGGGGGGGGGGGGCATTTTGGCCCCCCCTCAGATCTCGAGAACCACGCAACATAGCGACAAGCGGTAAACGGTGTTGGATAGCCCCAGCGGGGAACTACCTTGTGACCCAATTTCATTGACCTCGGTCAAACCGATGACGTCACAGGTCAGGTCAAAGGTCGAATTTTCACCGTTTACAGGCATTTCAAGAAATGCGTTGTAAAATCGAGTAAAATGCATTTCAATGAAAATCATCGATGGAGAAATGTTCTTCAAACACATATTTTGCTATTTGAGGTCACTGATACCAGGTCAGGTCACAGAGGTCAGGTCACTGGGGGGTCACAATATGAAAGTGTCGTGTGATACATGTTTTATGGTCCATTTTACATGACAAATGCGATTATGTGGGTCAGACAGACTTCAAGGCCAGCTTAGGTCACGTTTTGGTCAAGGTCAGGTCAAGGTCAGGTCAAGGTCAGGTCAAATTAGGTCAAATTTCAAAGTTGATATTTTTGCATAAAATGGGTATCGATTCGATGCAGCTCGTCACGGGGAGTTCAATGGTGGTCTCTGTTTTGCGCTACGAGGTCTAGAATTGCTAAAAATTGAGTTCAAAAATTTGACGTCATCAATTTTTAACAGTTTTTTTTTGCTATAACTTGGCCAAAAAAAGAGGTATCGATCTAAAATTTGGTATGTATATCGAAGAGCGCAGGGACTATCATATATATTCCGGTTTTTTCGAAATTCGAAAAATTTTTGGAAATTTTTTTAGTTTTTCTAAAAAAATCAATTTTTTTTGATTTTTGGGGGTCAAAATCCCAAAATTTCGAAAATCCGAGATAGCAGTTTTGTAGCGCCGTTTTTTCTCTACACAACCACATAAAGAACTTTAAAATTGCTTGTTAACTGTAGAATTGGTGAGCGTTTCAAGATGTCATGTTTTTTGCTCATTTTTGCTCGAACATGACCTCAGTTTGACCTCAATAACTCCTGACCTGAGGTGACCTGTGACTTGAAATTTTGTGTGAAGGTGTCAAATTGATGCCCGGTAAGGTACCCAAAATTTGGCGGCGCTGCGCGCCGCCGTTTTCTCGCTATTTAAGAAAAACCACAGGGGGGGCCAAAATGGCCCCCCCCCAGGGCGCGGCTAAGGAAAGACTCCGCTCGCTCCGCTCGCTCCGTAATGAAGCAGCACTTCGTGACTTCTCGCGTAACCATATTCAGCGTAGATGCAAACAACTTATGAATTAGAGTAGTACCTAAACGCATTTATCGGTGTTAACCCGCGCGGGGCTGGGGTCTCCAGCCGAACGCGCGGGGCTGGGGGGGGGGGGTAAATTTTACCCCCCCCTGTTATCTCCCGAACTAATGGTCCGATTTGGAAAATTCAAACGCCAATCGAAAGCTCTCATCACGAACTACTAAAAACATGTACTTAATTTAAAGTTTGAGGTCAAGGTCAAGGTCAGGTCAAGGGTACAAATTGCAAGTTTCTACAGTATCGGCCTTGCACCGTAGTTGCCGAAGAATGGAGTCATGGACTGAGACTGATCGCCCAAAACGTGTTCTTAGGCTACGAAGACAATATTCATTGCATACAATATCATTCAGAGGTCAAGGTCAAGGTCAGGTCAGGTCAGGTCAGGTCACCAAAAAACAAAATGTAGAAAAGGGCATGTGCGACACATGTTTTATGGGTCATTTTACTCATAGAATTCAATAGGCACACTCAATAAGTGATATGGACCACCTCTGGATGAATTTCAGGTCGAGGTCAGGTCAAGGTCAGGTCAAGTGAGGTCAAATTTTGAAGTTGGTTGTTAAGGCCTAAAAAGGTGTCTATCTGATGCAGTTTTTCACGACGAATCGAATGGTGCTATTTTTGTTTCCGTACGAGGTCTAGAACTTCCAAAAAAGTCATTTTTCAAAAATTTTGTGAGTCGTGACGTCATAAAATTTTGAATAACTCCCACATTTTTGAACCGATTCTTCTAAAATTTGGTATGTAGGTGCACATAAACCACCTCTCTGACATATATTCTGGTTTTTTCGATAGACTCAAAATTTTGGATTTTATAATGATTTTCCCAAAAAAGTCAGTTTTTTGAAAAAATTTAGGCCAAAATCCAAAATTTTCAAAAAACCGAGACAGCCATTTGATAGACAAAGTAAAATTACGTATAACCTTTTTTGTTACGTCTTGATTCCTTTAAAAATGAAGATGTTAGCGGCGTTTGAACTTTTGCCGTTTTTGAGGCGAAAATGGCGAACATGACGTCACTAAAACGTCAATTTCTCAAAAATTTTCCGACGGATTTCGCTCAAATTTTCAGGGAACGTGTCAAATTGATGTAAGAAAAGGTACTGAAAGTTTGGCGGCGCTGCGCGCCGCTGTTTTTGAGATATCGCAAAAATTCGCGAGGGGGGGTAAAATTTACCCCCCCCCCCCAGCCCCGCGCGGGTTAAGACCAAAATAATGGAGCTAGTAAAGCGAATATCTTTCCTCGTGTTTTTTTGCGCTTACTGAAGTGTAAACAAACATCATCAGCTGATGAGCGGTAGTCAAAGTACTCGCTAATGTTGTGTGGCCGGCATTACCCACCGTCCGTGATAACCCCGCTCTCCCGTACATTAGGTCCCCCAGGTCCCCCTCAGGAAATGGAATTCATGGGGCCGGGGGGGGTCCCCCCGGTCTTCCACGGTTTCTCCGGTCCTGTACTGGTGGTAACAATTTTGGTGTCATGCGACATGCATCATGCATGGGACGACTCACCGAAGCGTGATGAAAGTCTGCAATCCCCACTAGGACATTGTTGTGACGATTTTTCTTCGTACAGTCGAGGTAGCGCCTGCCGTCTGCGCTCAAAGCGTCTGACTGATGCATTAAATTGAAGATGGTGTTTGTTGCTGTAATGTTAGTACCAATCCGTTAGTACCTTTGGGGCGACTAACGGAGCGAGCGAGAGGGTGGGCCTTGCACGTGCGAAATTGCGAGGGGGTACCTCCAACTGACTTGTGCACGGCACCCTACTAACCGGTCTCTAGCGATGTGCCAAATTTGGGCACAATCGGCCCAGCCGTTCTCGAGATCTGGAAGCGGCACCCTGCACGTGCGCACGTGCAAAATGGGTCCCAACTGACTTGCACACGGCACCCTACTAACCGGTCCCTAACTGTGTACCAAATTTGAGCGCAATCGGTGGAGCCGTTCTCGAGATCTGGAAACGACCCCTGCACGTGCGCACGTGCAGCAGCGCCCCAACTCTGGCACATGGATATGCAGTGCCTAGTGGGTGCCTACCTACATGCCAACTTTCAGCGCAATCGGCCAAGTAGTTACCGAGATATTGCAACAATTACAAAACGGACACCTCTTCGTTTTGCACGTGGCACGTGCATAAGGGGTCACCCACATGCATCGGGAATAGTCCAATACTTGGTAGAAGGAATGAAGCTACCCTACAAAAATTGTTGCGTGTAAATCGGTCAAGTGGTTGCTGAGATATAAGCCTCGTAAAAGCGTGACCACGGCCGGCCGGCCGGCCGCTCATACTCAGAAATTTCCGTTAATCTAAGGAAGGACTACGCTCGCTTCGCTCGCTCCGTAATCAGTAAATATGAGCCGATTTCACGACAGCTATCTGGCACACAGTTGGCTCACATTTGGTGCAGTTTTGGTGTATATTTGGCCAAATAAGGTGCATTGTGTTTCTTGGTAGATATTAACTAGCGCTGTACTAGTTAATGGCTACGTTTCCATGGCACAAGCTAAGCCGATTTGGAAAAAAATGGATTTGCTCCATCATAGGATCTAGGCATAATTTAAAAATGTAAATATAAGATTAGGTGCTAGCTAAAACCACATATACGCTCATTTTTTGCATAAGGTAAATAGTTTCCGAGAAAAACGCACGTGAATTTTCGCTAAATCGATTTAGACGTGTCATGGAAACGTAGTGATTGTACTACGTTTATATTCAATTCAATATACCCTGGTGATTGTATACTGTAGTGTAGATATCAGATAGCGCTGTGCTATTATACCTATAATGCCTGATTTTTCAAAGTAGGTATAGGTACTATCTTCAATTAAAACACAAATAAGCCATTCGAGGAAACTCGTCGAGGAAACAGCTATCATATGCGTACAAAGTAGGGGAGAGTGGGGCTATGCGTTACACTTTTTGGTCTTCTGCACTTAGTGGCCAAGCTATTCAATGAAATTGCACCAAATTTGGTCACATGATAGCTGAATCAAATTGGAAAGCACATGCAAACTTTCACTTCTTTACGACTATTCACTTTCATGAGAAATTCAGAAAACCAAAGCAAGATTTTTGGGGTAAGTTGAAAAATTGTGGGGCAACTTGATACACGATATGGGGTAACATGTTACACTTCTTTTTTCGTAGTTTCTTCATCATTATAACGGTCATTGGCCGTCCTATCGGAACCGATCGTAAGCCTAATGGATAATACTAATGGATAATACTAAACATGCTTTCCTTTCTCATTGAAAGGCAAGAACAATAAATCATAAACCATTACTGTACTCCACACGCATGAAAAGGCTCATCAAACATGGCTCAATCTCTGATTTGTCTTTACTGCGACGCCAAGGGCACCATGCATTGCCATCCTGACCGGAGTTCGATTTTCTGCACGAAATTTACGCCCAGGTGAAATGGAGCACGCTATAAGCAGTCTTGGGTAGCCATCTTTAAACATGCGCCGGCCCTGCGGCGGCCGACTTTCACAAGACTGAACTCAAATGTTTGTTTACATGAAGAGGCTAGTGCGTTTCAGAAATCATCGCTTATAGTACATACCTAATAGCCGTTTTCACGACGGGCTATCCGGCGAGTGCACCTAATTTGACCAAATCTGCACCTAATCTCTTTTACAGCAAATATCTTTATTTTATGAATTTATTTCAGTGTTTTAATCGATGATGTTCTCTGATAATGTGACAAAGCTGGCATATAAGCAATTAGTGCAACCCTAGCTGATACCTATTAACCCTCGCCCGCACATGGGGGGGGTGGTTGCCACCCCCCCCCCAGGTAGTCTTTCTGCTCTGCACTCAACATTTTTAGCGCTAGAACGCTGATTTTTCGTATAGCTGCTCCTCTATCCTTTCTTGATGTCCACTGAAAATTTCAAGTTTCTGTGATTTTTGGTTTCGGAGATATGACCTTGTTTTTCAGGTCATGTCATGACCCAAATGGCCAATTCTCAACATCTTGCGTTTGCCATGGGTCTTGCGAGCTTTTGACACCCTGATTTCGGCCTTTTTTGCCAGTATTACCTCCCACCTATCATGGAACATGTTGTTCGACGATGTACAGGGGTCAAGGTCAGGGTCAAGGTCAACCTAGGTCATCTAAGATAATTACGTTTTAGGCAAGCTGAATTTACTTTTTTTGAATTTTTTGACTGCATTTTTGGTAAAAGCTTCTCAGAGCATGATTTCATGTAATATGGACCCAAAAACAATCGGTGCACACATCAGTATACACACAGACACACACAGACATACAAACACATATAATTGACCTTGACCTAACTTGACCTGAAATGACCTCAGCCGCAAAATTCTGGTCGGGTAGTGTGACAAAGAGGTTCTAGCTGGCCTGGCACCAGAAAACAGCATCGTCATCGGTATTTGATAAGCAGCGCACTTGATATCCAACGGTGACCCAAAACAGCAACATTTTTTAGTTTGACCTGACCTGGAAGGTCAATGACTGACCTGAGAAGGTAAAACTGGGTATCATTGGATTCGTCTCTTCCCAAAGAATCTTTTTGGTCTCTACCGCTAAGCTCTATCTCCAACAGGAACGAAATGGCGCGGGGGGGGGGTGGCAACCACCCCCCCCCCATGTGCGTTCTAGGATGGCAAAATGGCATGTGCGGGCGAGGGTTAAGAGACTCACTGAACCTAATTTGACCAAATCTGCACCTAATCCGCACCAGATGGCACCAAATGTGTACCAGATGGCCGTCGTGAAAACTAATAACTATAGCAGCCTTGCAAGAGAAGAGAGGAAAAGGGAGGACTGCATAAACCTACGTATTCACCTACCACGGAATATAATTATAGTCTGCGACATATATTAGGTACCTACGACATATAGTCTACGACATATATTACGACATATAGCCTACGACATATATTGTCGTAGACTATATATTCCTTGCACCTACTATGGGTTCTCAAGTCTTCCTTTAACCGATCAGCACGTGTTTAGAGTCTATCTATGCGCTATTTAAACTCACCGACACTTGTGGTGGTTTCTGTGGTGGCAACGGTCACTGTGGTGCTTTGAACGGTGGTGTTCGCCTGGCTGCTGGTCTCAGTAGGTGGACCCGTGCTGGAGTCCGTGGGCCCAGTGGTGGACTGACTGCTGGTGGTCTCCGTGGTGACTGCTGGTGGTGACTGGTGGTCTCCGCGACTGCTGCTGGTCTCCGTGGGTTCAGTCGAGGTGAACTGTCCGGGGCCGGTCACCGGCCGGCCGGAGCCTGAACGGCGGTGACAATATGCGACTCAGTGTCCGACAATGGAGATGTATTGATAATTATCAACGTTCTGCCACAAAAACAAATCCAAAACTGGAAATGGGTTGTTTTCTTGAAGGAACTCATACTCAAGTGACAAGTCATCTTTTGAGTCACCTGATCATCTTTCTAGCGATTATCTATTTGTATTGTAGCCGTGCACTCACCACAAATGGTGGTGTTCTGCGCGAACTCTCCCGGGGGACAGGAGCACGTGTTCTTCCAGCAGGTGACCTCTCCCGAGGTCAGGAGGTAACAGTCGTGGTCAGAGCTGCACCAGTCGCCCAGGTAGGCTGACCAGCACCGGCCAGATGAGATTATACGCGGAGTCAAAACAAACGTCAGAGACACATCATTGCGAGCGCAACAGCTAATCACCACTGATCTAAACTGACTTGGACACTTCTCAGTTGGAAAGTCATGTCTCGTCTTTTGGACCCATGGAGCTTACCCATGTCTCCCTCAGAACCCATGGAGCTTACCCATGTCTCCCCTCAGGCGGACCCAGAGCTCACCCATGTCTCTCCTAGAGTGGAGCCAGAGCTCACGGACCCAGAGCTCACCCATGTCTCCCTCAGGCAGATCCAGAGCCCACCCATGTCTCTCCTATAGCGAACCCAGAGCTCACCCATGTCTCCCCTGCTGTGGAACCAGAGCTCACCCATGTCTCTCCTGTAGCGGACCTAGAACTCACGGACCCAGAGCTCACCCATTTCTCTCCTGTAGCGAACCCACGGCGCCGTGCCGTTCATCAGCCTGCTGCTGTTGACATTCCCCCTCCTGTTGTACAGCGTGCAGCTGCCGTCACCGAAACTGAAGCTCAGGCAGTTGTCCCTGACCAGACATTCAGTCATGCAGTCGCCTGCGGACGGTAAATGTGGTATCGGCCACGGCGAGCATTGATGGTATCGCATTGGTGTAATTGTTATAAAGTAATTTCAATATTTATTCGGCGTGGCTGTAATATGTGAATGAAATGATAGGCACGATTAAGTACCTACTTTATAGTTGACGCATGCTTCGTAACTTCATTTACTCCAAGTATTCGTTAGAAGGCATAAAAATAAAAGTACATGGATACAGAATATAAAAAGATCAGTCCATTTTGCACCATTTCCAAACACTAGCTGCACCCAAAATTGATGAAGATCTTTTAATTGGTCACTAACGGATAGGTATAGTTATCAACTGTAATGTAAAACAAGGCAATACCTATGGCGATGTTTTTTTTTTTCTCACGAAGAAGCCTTTCAGGATTCGTTCCAGAGGCCAGAGTCAAACCAAAAGAAAGAAGTGGCAAGAACCTTAGTCGGTAACATTATACCTAACAATACCATGATTCAGTGGCGCAGCCAGGGGGGGGGGTCAGAGGGTCAGCTGACCCCCCGAAATTTCTGTCAGGGGCCCGCTCGAGAGAGAGAGAGAGAGAGAGAGAGAGAGAGAGAGAGAGAGAGAGAGAGAGAGAGAGAGAGAGGGAGGGAGGAGAGAGGTCCTAATCTAATCGGACGAGCCCGCTTCGAGAAATGCCTACTGGGACACCACGGGTGAGGGGCCGGCCTGGGGCCCCAGGAGGACGGGGCCCGGGCCCCCCGGGAGAACGGGCCCGGGCCCCCTGGGTGGATGGGGCCCGGGCCCCCCGTGGATGGGTCCGGGCCCCCGGGAGAACAGACCCCGGGCCCCGGACCCCCGGTTGGATGGGGCCCGGGCCCCCGGGAGAACAGGCCCCGGCCCCTGGGGGAACGGACCCGGGCCCCCGGGACAACGGGCCCGGGCCCCCGGGACAACGGGCCCGGGCCCCCTGGGTGGATGGGGCCCGGGACCCCCGTAGATGGGTCCGGGCCCCGGGCCTCGGGTGGACGGGGCCCGGACCCCCGGGTGGATGGGGCCCGCGCCCCCGGGAGAAAGGGGCCCGGGCCCCTGGTGGACGGGGCCCGGGTCCCCGTGTGGATAGGGCCCGCGCCCCCCGTGTGGATAGGGCCCGCCCCCCGTGTGGATAGGGCCCGGGCCCCCCGGTTGAATGGGGCTCGCTAGGGTGACCTGCTTGCTCCGCAACGCGAATAAGGAGTATTCTCGATCGGTGGGCGTTTGGTTGGTCTTGTGTCCGTGGGTTATGCATCCATTTCGGTCGATTGCTTTTTGACGGCTAAGCATTTTGGTTTGGGAAAAAATATCCATCGCATCGAGGTGCTCGTGTCTGATAAGCATGCGTTCTACTATAGAACATGTCATGTGTAGTTCATAACAAAGGTTGACGCAGGTTATTAAATGAAAGCCATCGATGAATTACTATGTAGAGGTTTGAAACATTTTTTATCTTTAAGAATACTGTTGCTCGTCATGCAAAAGCGATGATTGGATTCTGAACAAAATTTAATGCTCTTTCCAACTATGCCATTTTCAACTGTCAAACGTACCAGGTTATGCAGAAAAACCCGTGAAAAGTCCTTAACAAATACCATTTTCTCCAGCGATTTGTTCCACCTTGTTTTTGGTCAATTAGCTCTTCACAATTTTTCCATGAGAGGCGCTACATTTCTTTTGCCCACAGGCGTTGTTTGAACCCACTCCGTCAAACTCACCCGAAAATAGCATTAAGTCCCAAATCTGTCCGAAACGTCAATTTTCCAGCACAAGTGCCCTCACGGGTGCACGTGGCGCGTGCCATCCCTGCACCGCACACCATTCGATAACCCGTTCGATTCTGTTCCCTGTGCCGGTCGGGCCCACGGTTACCGAGATACTGCACGGGAACGGACCCGTGTCGGGCAAATTGAGCCATTTTCGCCCGATTTTGCAAGCCGATTTATACATGTAAAGTCTATGACGCGAATTTGCACTTTTTGAGCACGCACCATGTGCTCGCTATCGATCCGATCGAGCTGAGACTCTCAAAGGCACGTTGCCCATCCTTGATCTATAAGTTGCGCAAATTTCAGCGCACTGGGCGCAACGGTCTGACCCATACCCCGCGCTAAGTAACACCATTCCGGGACCTCGGTAGCAGACAGAATCTACGTCACCACATCACCACTGTACCACACCACATTTCGGCCTCGAAAGATAGGTACGAATTCATACGTCATGGTAACCTATTTCTGTCATGGTCAATTCGCGTAGAAATTGAACACTGTGTGATTACCGAGCTATTGTTCTATCAAAATTTTCCGATTCAAACTAGCTCAGGGTTATCGTGCAGGTAAAGGGGGCCCGCTCAGCAGAACGCGTACCGTAAACCGGGGTGAGTTGATATGGATTTTGAGGTTTTTCTAGATTTCTTTAAAAGTCACATTCATTTACGGAATTCTTTTTGTGCCAGTTTCATGGCACATGCTTTGGGGAGGCAATCAGCAAAAATTAATAAAAAATGTATATATTAAGCCCCTTTTTTAAAACGCCAAAGTTCATATCAACTCACCCCCTGGGGGGTGGTGAGTTGATATGGTTTTGGATTTTTCAAAATTTCTCGGCTAGAGAAGCTCAGAGGTGAGTTGATAAAATGCCAGTGTTTAAAAAAAGGATGTGAGAACACATCCTCAAAGAAACCATCGGAAAAAATGGTAGTAGTTTGGCAACAGACCTCACATTCATGAAAACGCAATCATGTCCAACACAGCGCTATGAAAATGGCTTGATTTTAGCAGCATCATTTTTTTCGCTTTATGATACTTAGTTTTACTTAAAACATTCTGAACTTGGCTAGTCACGTTTCCTCAAGCCAACGGTATCAAAACTGGCAATATATTTTGGAATTACAAGTGCATTTTCTTGTAATTAAAACACATTGTCAGTTGCGGGTCAAGGTTGATATGCCTCTGACAGAGATAATGGATTGAAATGAAAGAATACATATACTTCTGAGCTTTTGTTGACTGGTAGTCAACAAAATATTAATGAAGTGAAGTGAAGCGAATCTAATTCGGACTGCATTCTATAAGGTGAAATAAGCGACATAAAACAGCATTCGGCATCAAAAGCCAAAATTAACCCTCGCACTTATAGGCGGGCGAACGAACCACCTCGGCTTTTCGCACATAACTCGCGCAAAAAGCGGCCGATCACGACGAAACTTTCAGTACCTCTCGAGTTTATCAATTTTACACATGTTCTCAGATGGTTTTTGACTTGTGACCTGATTCTCGAGACCATACTTGGCCGGAATCGCGATTGGGCGTAGTCGGCTCACATTATCCGCGCATTTCCAGTCTTTTTGTGATTGTAACGTCCAAACATGTAAATGATGTTGGTCCCACGCAGTACTGTGGGTGTCAACTGTCAAGGTCACCTGAAGGTCAGGTCAGGTCATTGACCTTTGGTGACCGCGGTTCACTTTTTGGAGTTTTACATGTTTCTAGGGTATTTTTTTTTCGGGCCGATTTCGAATTTAACATGCACTTGATCATATATGAAGTAGTTTTAGTGCTTTCGTAACATGTTACGACACCGTCAGTGGTAGTTGACACTTGACACTCCCTATGGATAGCCGGCAGGACACCTACTGGTTGACCTGACCTGACCTGACCTGGCCTAAATGTACGAAGACATCTGTGATCAAAACTAACATGCCATTCGTGATCAGCAACAGCCAAAAAATAATAAACTCGCTTTACGAACTTCAAATAACCCCCTATTTTTCCGACTTCTGGGTAATTGACCTGGCCTGGAAGGTTAACCAATGACATAGGACCTTAAAGTTGGTTATCATCGGCTTCCTCGCGTCTCGGGCAGCACGCTCAATTTTTTCCGCGAAGCTCTAGCTCCACCAGGGGCCAAACGACGATGGGATTCCAACAGAACCCCCTCCCCCCCCTATACGGTAAACACTGGCAAAACACGAATACGGGCGAGGGCTAAAACACCAGTCAATTTCTTTATATTGTTTGTTCCATTTCATTTTGTCACTCATTCTCGGTTGGCAACTGCCAAGCAGGAAAACTAATCAGTTTCACGAGATCAGAATTCCCGCGCTGTTAGCCATACAGAAACGACAGTTCTGTCATTTTCGAAACTACGAATAATTATAACAGTTTTTTTATAATCTGTATGTATCTAGGTGTTCTATAGTGTTCCTTTGCAGCTTGTAGGGAGCCATCTTGAGACTTGACAGGGAGTTGTGATGTGCCTTTTGCATGTTAGGTATGTCCACAGAAAAAAAAAACTTTGGGGTTACTGATGTTAGTTGTCGGACCTTCGTCCCCGTCTTGAGTTGAGATGTAAGTTTCACAACGTTTCGGCCAGTTACTCTCCGGCCGTCGTCACTCGTCAGGTGTTCTTTGACCCTCAGAAGGACCTGGATGTTGGTGGCGTTGCGCCGTACGCGTCTAACAGTTCGAAAGCTCCTGTAGTCAGCGGGAATCGAACTCGGGTTTCCCCGGTGATGGTCCACGGTTGTAACCACTCCACTATCGAGGCAGATTTGACTATGGCCGGAGAAGTTACTGGCTGAAACGTTGTGAAACTAACACCTCAACTCAAGACGGGGACGAAAGTCCGACAACTAACATCAGTGATACTAACAGGCCTCGTCTCGAGCATTCAGGAAAAAAAAAAACTAAAGCTTTTGGGGGTTGATGGAATGATGTGGGGAAAGAAAAGGAGAAGAGTTGGTCTAATTGACTTTGTCTTACCTGCAGACCCATATTTCATGCTAATTTGCATGCATACCAGC